GACTTTAGCTTGTGTAGACACGGTGTTACTCACCTATCGAGAAGAAACAAAGCAACCTTGGCGTCCGATCGCAGGCCTTCCCGGCCTTCTATTTAAAAATAGTTTTTACATGAAATACGTTGCTTACAGTTTGTGGTGTCGTTGTTGGGTCCAGGACAGTTGGCACGGCCTGATCTTTGAGCAAAAGTATTTTGGCAAAGCCTGCATCATACTGCGATTTGTTCTCAAAACAGTGAACTGTGAAATGTACTGAATTAGCACTGACGTGACTTTATCTGAATCCATTTTTCTCTATCGTCGGGATCTTTCGGCAGCGTATACAAATATGTTGGTTTTCCACAGCCGGAAATGGCACATCATCTGCCTGGCATCGCAGTCTTATTGTAAACAACTACTCCTTCAGACCCACTCGCTGCACGTCGACTAAACAACTGTGGGCGTGACAACGATGCGATGATGCAAAAATAGGCGTAGTTGTCTTGCTCTGGAGGCGGTCATATGCAAACGACTGTGCCCAGGTGACGTCACCTTGTCCCTCTGATCCAATACAAGCCATTTTCTGAGGGTTATTGCATAAATGCTTTTTTATTTATGATGAGGAAATTTTTAGTTATGAAACTTGCAGGATGTATTAAGCATACAAAGACTCTTCTATGTCAAAAGATCAAGGGAAATTTGGTTTCTCATGTCATGACCCCTTTAAAATGCTTTCAGTTTTGTCCGAAACAGATGAACATGAACATCTGGCAGTATTTTATTATGTTGGTCGTTGTACATTTTGTGGCAGTTCAGAAATGACCTGGCCTTTGGGGGGCACTAAAAGGTTAATGCTCGTTCACGTTTGAAAATAATGTAACACCTACACTAAATCTGCCCTAAACCTAAACTGATGTTGTTAACAAAAGTAAGCATGAGATGAAAAATCACTCTAGCTTCTACAAACCTTAAAGGGTTAGTTCACCCAAAAATGAAAATTAGCCCATAAATTACTCACCCTCAAGTCATCCTAGGTGTATATGACTTTCTTCTTTCAGACGAATCCAGTCGGAGTTATATTAATAATTGTCTTTGATCTTTCAAGCTGTTTAATGGCAGTCAGCGGGTGTTGCAGTGCATCAGTCCAAAAGAAGTTAAATAAAAAGCGCCCATCCATAAAAAAAAATGGGGGTGTGAACAAAGTCCTCCTGTAGCGAATCGATGCGTTTTTGTAAGAAAAATAACCATATTTAAAATGTAATAATCAATTTAATCTAGCTTGTGCTCACTGTTGTAAACGAAAGCAGCTCCGGGAGGATGAGGTCGGCTTTGCGCATGTGCCGCTCAGAAGTGACGAACGTGGAAGCGCAGGGGAGAGATCAAAACAAAACAACGGTCACTAATTAGAGGTACAAAACGAGGATTTGTAAAGAAGAATGTCAGAGGATTTCGATATAAGCCAAGAGGAGACTGGCTTTCCTTTGCTAAAGTAAGGAAACTGCTTCCTTTGCTCCTGTAAACAAACGTTGGTTTTCACGAGACTCACCAGCGCATGCGCAACGCCGACATCTTACGTCATCC